CAGCCGAAACGGCATCACCGTATAACAGAATAACCCTTGATTAGTGACGAATGTCGTCTTCTCTTGATCTTTTTTCCACAAGGGTATCTGATGGAAGCCGGAATAGGTATCCATGAAGCTCATCAAGGCATGACCGGCTGTAGAATCGACGAGGTTGTCGATCTTTGGAAGTGGATAGCTATCCTTCGGACATGCCTTGTTCAGATCTGTGTAGTCTACACACATCCGCCAGGTACCATTCGGCTTCTTGACAAGAACAACATTTGCTACTCAATCCGGGTAGTAGCATTGCCAAATGAACCCGGCATCAAGCAGCTTCTTAACCTTGGCGGCTGCCGCCTGAGATCTTTCCTCTCCGTGGTTCTGTTTCTTTTGCCTTAGCGTCTTCTTTTTTGGATCCACGGCAGCTTGTGGACAGCAAGATCCGAGCTGACGCCTGGTATCACTTCCACTTCAAAGGCAAAAATGTCTTTGAATTCTTTCAAGAGTTGGTGCAAATCTGCTCCCAACCTTGCATACGCAACCGTCCCCACTTTAACAGTTCTCTCCGAACGGCTGTCATCCAAAGCTATGTCAATATTTTCACCAGATGGGGACGGAGATTGTCTGATCGCTCCCCGATCAGTGATTGCTATTTTTCCTCTTTTTTGACGGCCACTAGGTGGTCCGCCTTTCTCTTTTTTCCGGCTGCTTGGGGAGCAGGCGCGGCTTCCTTGAATTCGTCAAGGTCGATGGGTTCCTCCCCTTGGCCGGTTGAGGCCACAGTCGGTTTGACTCTGAGAGTTAACACTCTCTAGCCGTCTTCTGATCCCCGCTCAGGGAACCCACAGTTCCATCATCCCTCTCAAACTTGATCAGCATGAGGGAGGGAATGATGACAGCCTTGGACTCGTTGAGGGTTGGACGGCCCAGAATAAGATTGTAGGCAGTCAGTTCCTCGACCACCAAAAACTTGACGACCATGTGTCGTCCTTCCCCCTTCTCTCCTAGCCGGATGGGTAGGTCAATCCTCCCCACCGGATGCACTACTCCTCCCCCAAAACCGACTAAGGGGTGAGAAGCCTTGTGCATGCTGCTAGGCTTATACTTGAGCTTTGCCAAGCACTAATAGCTGATAAGGTCAGACGAGCTCCCGGTATCAATTAAGATCCGGCCCACCCGTTGGTTGGCAACTTTGCACTCGATGACTATAGGGTCATCATGAGGTCGCCTGACCTTGCCTCGGTCTTTCTCAGAGATAAGGAGCTCAGGGAAGGTGTCTTTCGACGCCTGCCCCTCATCCACTGAATTGACCAACTTCTGGATGTTGTCCTTGGCACCCCGAATGGTAGGACCCCCCTCCCGCAAAGCCGCCTCCCGGTGAAGATTTGCTCATCATCAGTATCTGAGCTCACACCCGGCTTTTTGGATGGTTGTCCTTGTTCGGTTTGGGGTTGCCCTTGGACTTCACCATATAGGACTTCAAAGCCCCCTCATCAGCCAGACGGTCCAATAAGCGGCTGAGGCTATAGCAACCATTGGTGTCGTGGCCAATGTCCTCATGGAATTGGCAGTACTTGCTCTTGTCTCGGCTATTGACGGGACTCTTCATTGCAGCCGGTGTTTCGATAGTCAGCCGATCTTTGATCTCCATGAGGATGGAGGAGCAGTCCTTGTTGAACTCGTACTTTGGGACGTACGGCTTCAACTCTCTCTTTTTCTTCTGGGAAGGCTGACCGGAACGGTCCGCCGCCCAGACTTCTTTTCTCTTTTTTCCCTCTTCTTTCTTTGCCGGCTGGGCAGGCCGGTTGTCTCTTCTATCGAACTTTTTAGGGTCCGACGGATGCTTGATGGCACAGAGCTTCGTCGCCCGTATGTAGGCTTCGGCTTCCATCAGCGCCTCTTGGAGGGTGGTTACCCTCTTTCTAACCAGGTCGAACTTGAAAGTTGACCTGTCTTTCAAACCCTTGAAGAAGTCTGTGTAAGCAACTTCGTCAGACAGCCCTTTGATCTGAATTCTCATCAAATTGAACCGCCTGACATAGGACCTTAATCCCTCCTTGTCTCCCTGCTGTATAGCCCCCAAATCAAGGCTTGTCTTTTGGCAAGGATGTTCATGGAGAAGTTGAACGTGAAGAGATACGTCAACGTTTTGAAGTTTTTGATGCACCCGGCTGGAAGATTGCCGAACCATCGTTGGGCTATGCCCTTCAATGTTGTCGGGAAGCATCTGCACCGGGCGGCATCATCCAACCCCTGTAAGTACATGAGGTTGGTGTAGGCCATGAGGTGGTCTTCCGAACTGGTGGTACCGTCCTAGGTACCAACCAACACATTTTTAACCTTGGCCGGCTGTGCCGCCTCGGTTATTTACCTTGAGAACGCTGATGGTTGTTCTCCTAGGTTGAGCAGCCGGAGCTGCCAGTCCATAGGTTGGACCTGCTATGCCGCCTGACCCCCAAAGAGGGCCGGTTGCATGTATGGAGATCCATACGGAAAGTATGGTTGTTGGGGCACATACGGAGCCGGCTGGATAATCTGAGGGCTAGTGCGTGTGGACATGCCGCATGACTGACTCTCTTGGTTGGTCTCCGAATACTTCATTGAAGTATTTCGGAAACTGTCTGGGTAAGTCGACGTCGAGGCCGAATCAAACATTTGCTGACTTCTCTTCTTGGATGAACATCCGGGCGTCAGAGCAAGTCTCTTTTTACCCATCCGGCTGTACTTGCCGGATGGCCTTCCTTTGCCCTGATTCAGGGAAACGAAGTCTGGATAGGTCGATCAGAGGCCCATCGGCCCCCTTTGGTTTAGGGTGCGGGGTAGGCACTCGATCTTTGATTTGCTTCTTCCCAGAGGGAGAAGGCTTCTTGGCCGACTGACCCCTATTGAAGCTAGTGGACTTTTTGATCATGTTCTTTATTTCTCCCTTGAAACTCGTCATGAATTTCATGAGTTCGTCTCTGGTGACGGGGCTAAACCCTCCGCCGCCTGGGGTGCACCCGTCGGCTGGCCGACTGGGCTGCTAGGACCAGTATTGTCTTGGCCTCGTTCCCTTGTTTCTTTGGAACGGGTGCGTCTTGTTCTGAAGGACCCGTCTGGGGCCACATAGGTGTCGGTTGCATAATCGTCACCGCTATCTTGGTCCGTGTGGACCTCGGTCTCAGCCATAGGTCGCTTGCCCTCAGCACGCGGTACAGAATCAGATGCCATCTCAGAAGTACTCTACCCACAGACGGCGCCAAATGTTTCGGGGTTTTTATGTGTCCTACGGGAGAGTTACAATTCCGAGAATGCGCGTCCGGTTGTCTGTACCTGCAAAACCACGAAACTCCGGTTGGGTGGAGTTTCGCCTCCGACGATCAAGTTAGAACGCGTATGAGAAGTATAGTGCGGAATGTAAAATGTTTTTCTCTCTGATTCAGAGAGAATTCTGCAATTATATTGCTCGGTTTTTTGCGTTTGTATTTGTCAATATTTGTGAATGTATAATAAATGAGGATTTTCCTCTATTTATAGGGCAAGGGGATCAGTTCCCCTCTTTAGGGTTAAGGTGTCACGTGTCAGCCAGGGATTGGATCCCATTGGGCCCTTCTGAGGCTGACACGTGTCAGCTTATGATTGGGCCACATGGCTAGGGTAATTTTTACCCTACACACCCAGCTCTCCTCAATTGAGTCAAGGTATGAGAGCCATCAATTATATCCATTTACATTCATGCAACTAAAGCCTCAAGCACATAATCTCTTGCATAGTATTCTCTCTCCATTGAACTGACTTTAGCATCGGAGGGGTCTTCCTCGACAACCACCCCCGAGGCTATACGTGTTCTTTGTTGTGCAGGAAATCCTCGGCTCCACCGTTCTTTGGACCGAGACCAGTTTTCTCCACCTAAATTGGGTCATCCGAAAGTCCCATTATTTTCATACCGAAACAACTACTATCCTTATTCTTGATTCCTCTCTCATTAATTCTTTATTATATTGAAATGTGCTAGGAACAACACAAGTACAAAGACACTAGATCCATTCACCTAGATGTTGAATTACTAAAATCAATTTATCTAAATGCCATCACAAAAACATTATTATTATTCATACCACCAAAAGTAACAAAATAAAATATCAAGATAAAAAAAATCAAAAGGAACAAAAAGTGGGCCCACGGCCCCCACCTACTAAACTTCCAAATCCAAAGCAAAGATCACTAACCCATCATCATATTTTTCTTAATCACAAACAAACAAAACCACTCACTACTACCAATCTACTATTCACCAAACATTACTTAATTACTCATTCCCGTCCATACCTAAAGATTATCCCAACTACAGTTGATTTTTTAGTATTAACAAGTACCCATAAAAATTTGATAAGGCCTAAACAATGATTTGTTATCAAATTAATCCGTAAACATAAAAAGAGGCAAATTAAAAAGAAAATTAAGACAAGAGTGAGAGATAACTCTGTTTGTTAGAGCTTTTTTTTCATTACATGGATCATGAGATCAATTCTTATCATCCGTGTTTGTAGCTTTCTAAAAACGAAAAAATCCAAGGCACCGTGACCAGGGTATTAGATTAAGCAAATTGTACGGCCCGCCACAATGTAACGGCTACATCCAAACATGCAGGAAAGAGGAGAGAGAAAACTACAAACACCGGCCAAAATGAATCTGATTCAACCACGTGTCACCATCTCAATATCTCAACTTAAAGTAACCCACTCACACGTGACTGTTAATGCACCTCCGTCTCACTCGCCAACTTCTTCTTCACTCACACTTTCTCTCTCTTCTTTCTCTCTCTACAAAAATAAAAATAAAAGCCAAGACTTTGACTTCTTCCTAATTTTATGGTCTTAATTACAAATTTTACAAATAAAAGGACAAATAATGTGAACAATTTTTATTGCGAAATTCAAATTTAAGTGAAATTTGAGGACATTTCAATTGAATTTCATTTAATTTCCAATAATACCCCTTATCTTGTTTCTTTATCCCATCTCACTCTATAAATACTTACCTTCCCCTGACCTAACATTTCCCAGTTTTTTCACAAATTTCAAGAAATTCTTAGAGAGAGAGTGGAATTTTGTTTTGTTTTTGGTGTTGCTAGGTTTTTTTGCAGGTTCTTCATTTGGGTTTATTTTTAATTCAGCAAACAAGTAAGTGTTTTTTTTTTTTAAAATTATTTAATTAATTTATTTTTGTTTTTGATCTTAATTACTGAAATGGGTTTGTGATTTTATTTTTTTACCAATTTGTGGGTTTTTGTTTAAAATATCTCATGAGATTAAAGTTCACATTTTTATAATTATTTATTTATGTAATTTATCTGAATTAGTGAAAATGGTTCGTGATTTTATTTTTACCCGTTTTTGGGATTTTGTGAAAAATAATCCCATTTGATTAAAGTTTACATTTTTATTTTTTGGTAAAATTAATTGTGATATAGTACTTCGTATTTGATTGTTATAATTATTTTAGCTACCTAGATAGTTACTGCTTGGTTAAATTCTGCTGTTTATAATTGTTTTATTTCCTCTTTTAGGTCCATTTCTAAAACAAAAAATTAATGTAATTTGATAGATGGTTCATTAACCATTAAGATGATTATATAGGTTAATCATGTATTCCGTACATGGTTTTGTGGATGCGAGTTAGATTAGTTGGTTAAGTTATGGCCCTTGGGGTGCTACTCTGCTAGTAAGACCTAGGATTGATCGATCAAATCTCGTCTCCATCACTACCCGTTGTCGCTCTCAATCTACCAACTTCTATTTGGTTATTAGTAAAATTACAGTATGGAGTGATTTTAGAATGGTCACTTTAGTTTCAGAAGTTCAGAACAAACTTTCTCTAGCAAAGCTTATGAATGACCCACAACTCCACAAGATATCAACATGGTTTGATCTTTGTAATTTGAGATTTGCTTAGTGAAAACAAATCACTGTCAGATTTAGCTAGCAAAAGGCCGGAGTAATTAGAATTAGAATGATCTTTAGTTAAGTATGGGTATGATGTACATTTTTGTTAGTGAGTAGTTTTAGGTTCTTGGGACAATTCTTTGAAATCATTTATATTTTTATTAGAAGTTGTTCGGGTTTAGGTTAAGACCCTCTTCGTCGTTTCATTGACATTGCTCCTTTGGGGTTCCACAGACTTTCAATGGAGGCACACACAGCAGCAATGATGACTGGCTCCTCAAATGTTATATTTATGTCGACTATTCTGGGTCAGGATGGACCAAACCCAGGACACAAGTGTGATTGGAAATGTCAAAACGAGCATGTCTGTGGAAATATGTACCGATGCAGACTTACTGGGCAGACTCATATTTGTGACAAAAACTGTAACCAGCGAATTCTATATGGTAATCACAACTCGCTGTGCAGAGTCAGTGGACAGGTTTTCCCACTTACACCTACGGAGCAGCAAGCAGCTAGAGGTGTCCGCAGGAAGTTTGAAGCTGAGGCTTGTCCTTCCGAGAGCTGTTCTTTCAAGCGTCGTCGGGATTCAAACTTACATCCTTCACCTTTCGAGAGATCCTTTTCTGCTGTCAGCCCAATCTGCAGTCAAATTGGAGATGGCATGGACTTGAACTAGATAACTCAATAAGCTTAATGCGCCTTTTTTTTCTAACCTTTTTATTTTCCTAGTTCGTTTAACTTTTACATTGTGGTGAACTATGTGAGAATCTTAATTGCGGAACCCTGTGCACCCCTTATGTGCGGCAGAAGAATTTTTATTTCTAAATTTAGTGGTTATGTAGAAAACTTTAAGACTTCATCTACTTTGGTGCTCCTATGTTGTCATATTCCATGTTTACTCTGAATTTAATTAGCTATAATATGATTAGTATCTCTCTGATATCTGGTGTACCTTGTTGCAGCATTAACTATGATCCAGACTTTTCTTTTTATCTCTTGCCTACTTGGTTGGGAATGTCTCAGACATCTTTGTTTGTTATATTCTACGATTGTAATAATGCTATATCTTCAGCTTGCAGCTTGTAGAACACTTTCTTCTTTATTTTAGTTGTAAGTTGTATCTCTTGATCCCTGCTTCCCTCCCTGCCCCAACCCCAATCCAAAAAATAAAATCAAAGAATTGGGGAACAAAGGGAGGAGGAGCAACATAGATACATCTGACTTTTGTTATAACTCATTGTTTGTTTTGACATGTGTGCTCTTTTTGGTGTTATTTTGCAGGTTACAAACTTTTTCTAGTCAGGGAGTTATAATTTGCTTATGTGTACTATATGATTTCTTGAGTATAATTTCTACACAACGAAATTACTAATAAACTTTCTTTCATTGCCTTTCCAGGAATGCAGAAATTTGGCTATTTGTGGTGTTTCATGAAGGTGTCTTAAACACTAATCAATTGGACAATCTGCAAGTGTCAGCTGATAGGCTATTAATCTCTGCTTCGAGAATTGAATCAACAAGATGAATTTTGGAAGACATCCTGTGGTGATTCAGATCTGCCCTGGTATAGGTTTTAGGAGGATCTCTGCTTCTCTATTGAATATCATGATACAATTCTCCAGTGCTTCTCCGGAAGTTGATGCTGATTTCAGATAAGGTTACTGTATCAGCCTTTGTTTTTGGAGTTTCAATGATTATTTGGCTCATCACTTCCCATCCATTTGAGATTTATATACTCTTGTCCTGTATTACCAACCAGTAGTTTGAATGCTGTACGAGTTGCTTCTTTGCAGCTTCGAATCTCTAATTCCTGCAGTTTTATCTTGGAGGCAGTTGTATTATCTGAAGGCATGAATTTATGATGAACAGATAGTTGACATGCTTCAATTTGCAATCTTTTTCATAGAACTACTGTCTTTGAACTTCCTGAAGTCCTTTATGGGAAACAATTGTATTCTCTGAAGGCTTGAATATGTTGGATGAAGAGCAGTCTGAAAGTATTTCTGATAAGTTTTGCAAGATGATTATAGATTTTAGTTTGTAAGAGATGGCAGAGCTTTTTAGTGAGATCAGGGTATGAGCATTACATTTGATGTAATGTAATTAGTGATAATTGAATCTTAGCATTGTGTATTAATAAAGGATGTAATGTAATCAGTGATAATTGAATCTTTATCTCTTTGATCTTTTATGACAATGCATTGGTTTCAATACAGTTTTTGCCACCAGAATTCCAGGCGAATGAAAAAACTGTGTTATGTTACTACTTGAGTCAAGTTTTTAATTTTTTGCTTGTTTGCTAAGATTTGCACTGCTAGATGGGTTTAAATCTGTTCGAAGTAGAGCTTTTCAGGGGAAGTGATGCTCCTGGCTCATGGACAGGCCACGTTGCTACCATGCCCATTGACCCACTCGATGCAGCCTAACCCTAAGGTGTGGGAGATGAACCATGACACCATTAACACGGAAGCATTACATTTCTAGCAGTACCATTTGGGATAGTACCCCACCTTTTCACTCTGTGCAAGAGCTACACCTTCACTTAGGGCAACCTAAGGTCAAAGGATACCTTTCTGAATCTACTTAGAATAATACAAGTAATCAAAATATCTCATAGGAATTATTTGGTGTATCTTCAAAGCAAAATATTCATTCTTTGCTGCAAAGTAAACTTCAAGTACCATTTATATGAACTTCATTTATATCAAAATCCTATGTTTAAGATTCTTTTCCAATTATAAAATTGGACTACTCCTAATTTGTCATACAAGCAAAGTCAACTTATAAACCCTTCTCTCCCAATTTATTTATTCATTTTAATCCTTTGTTAAAATAATTGAAAGAAAGGAATTTTTTTTCTTGAGGCTATCTAATAAAATACATACACACATACATAAATAGATAAATATCGCGGCTAATAAATAACTCTAAACTTAAAAACTTAATATCGCGGCTAATACATGAAGTAAAGTAACGTAGACCTTAGTATTTCCATTTTCGGATTTTTCAGATCCAAAATCCTCTATAATTCCTTAAACCCTCAAGACTACTACCATAGCTTAGAATAGACCCTCCCTCTCTTAATTCCTCCCTTTCTCTAGTGCACAAAACAGAACAACTCTTATAATGCTAAAAAAGTTATTGTTTAAGCTCACAAATTTCAACTTTTATCTCTTGTTATTGCTCTTTCGTTTCACAGTTTCTTCTACATTCACAATAACCAATAACTGACCATTTTCGATATGGCCCAGGACATTATCTGGGTCGGGAACGCCCCCACTTTCATCCACCGGGTTTCAGTTAGATTCCGGAAAGACTGTGAGGCTTGAGACGGTTCCAGGTTGGTCATACAGGATATGGGCTAGGACAGGCTGCAAGTTTGATCAGACGGGTGCAGCGAAATGTCTTACAGAGGATTTTGGAGGGAGGTTGCAATATGGTGGGAGTGGGGCAACACCGCCTGCTTCGCTGTTTGAGATCACATTAGGCCAAGGGAGTAACAAGGATTTCTATGATGTTAGTATGGTGGATGGTTATAATCTCCCTCTTGTTGCCCGGCCTACTAGGACTAACGGTGCTGCTTGCAACGCGACAGGATGTATTTCTGATCTTAACATGGGTAAATTTCAAGTTGCTTATCCTAAATGCTATGACAATCTCATATGACTTGTCATGCACATGATAAGGGGTGGCTAAGGGCAGAATCGATGTAGATGCCATGGTTCGATCCTAACCAGTACAGGTTCAACCGAACCAATCTCGAGCCATATATACCAAAGTCAAGCAGAGCATAATTGAAGTTGCAAAGGATAATAGAGCCTTGATGCCTATCTTAGTATCTTTTGGTGCTAATAGCTCCTATCATGGATATGACAAGTCGTATGATATAATGCATCACAGCACTCGCTACTATTTAATTTATGTATGATCATAAGATTTACTTGTTGCCAGGTGAGAATTATATAGATTAGCTGATGATTTTCCATGGAATTTGTCTCAAACAGGCTGCCCGAAAGAGTTGCAAGTGATGGGTGGAGAAGGAGCAGAGGGAGGAGTGATCGCATGCAAAAGTGCCTGTGAGGCATTTGGACTAGCCCAATACTGCTGTAGCGGACAGTTTGCTAATCCGACAACGTGTCAACCATCGTATTATTCACGAGTCTTCAAGAGAGCCTATCCGAGGGCGTAAAGTTATGCCTTTGATGATGGCACAAGCACATTCACATGCAAGGCTAATAATTATGCCATACTGTTCTGCCCCAAATCTGCTGCTATGTAATGCCCATTTCTAACTGTCTTTATACCCTGAATCCTATACATCACCTTTAATGATGTATTCTCTTCTCTAATTGTTATTTCTTTTCTTCTGATCATGGCGCAGGGCAAATAATCCAATTGGTGGCCCAGCTACATCTCCTCCAATTGTCCCATATAATTCACCACCAAGTTCCACCCACAGTCCACCACCAATAGGTGGCACAGCTATGTCACCGCCAAGGATCCCATATGAATCGCCACCAACATACAGTTCACAACCAATTGGTGGCACAACTATGCCACCGCCAAGTATCTCATATACGCCACCTCCAAGTCTCACCAACAATCCACCACCAATTGGCCAAGATACACCGCCAAGCTTCACTGGCAATTCAGAACCACCATTTGAAAAGCACAGTTATGGGGTATCTGAGGGGGAAATGTCCTCATACACCATCATACCGAATTATGTGCATATACTTTTGATCGTTAGCTTGCTGTTGTTGAGATAAAATGTTCCTTAAACAGGATCAAACTTTCAGCACTCTAGGCGAAAGAAATTCAGAATTAACAAGCTTCGCCAGAGATATGAGACAGGACAAGAGGGTTGAAGGTGTTATACGTGGAAAAATGAGAGCACATAAGGATTTCTCCAAGAATACAGAATCAATGCAGAAGATGGAACCTGGTTCCTCTAAAACTCAAATGACACAAGGAAGATCAGCTGTAAATAAAATTACCACATTTACCAGGCAGTCCATAGACAGATCTCAATTATTACTAACATCTTGAGCGCAGAAGATAGAATAATCATCTTTTATAATATAATATGTATCAGTGTTCTCTTTCATTATGAAAATTGTTATCACATTCAATAAATAAAAACAAGGGAACACAGGATAAATATCCTACAACTTTGATCAAACTAATCAAAAATTAGACTATCTTGGTTTATCCTGGCAACTACAAGAATATATCCTAACTGGTGTACAACCTATAACCAGAAAAACAAATCTCATAATTTACTTCTTAGCCTTGCCTTTCTTTGGTGCCTGAGGTTTCCTTTTCTTCGGCTGCTTCCCTCCTACATCTTTCCCCTTCTTTTTTGTCGCAGCCTTCATGATTTAGTAACCATGCATATATAAGGAAAAATTTATCTCAAGTTAAATATTATATTACATCATAACTACTGTGAATCGTTTAGTACATACCGGTTTTTTCTCCGCTTTTCCTTTAGTTTTCTTGTTAGGTTTCTCTTCACCTTCATTCTGATCACCTTTGACATCCTTGATCATCTTATCAGTCTCATCATCTGAGTCAAAGTTGAACCCTTCCAGTGTTCCTACTCACAGAAAGTTTAGCATCAGATAAAGACTCATAGTAACATAAGAGCTGCATGATAAAACTAAGTAGAATAATGAGGCTGCAAAAGGACTTCAAAGGATAAAAACTAACCTTCAACCATAGTCTCAGCATCATAAACATTTGATTGTGGTTTTAGCTGAATAAAATCATTCATGATGGCCTCTATCTGCTCAAGGGATACTAGAACAAATGAATTTTCATCACTACATAATAATCTTATTTTATCCCTCTTGATTAGATGAAAAATTCTAGATTAAACCTCAGTAGGAGGCCAACCTAATTCATCATTGTGGATGAGAAGAGCACATTATTCACATAATATGGGACATAGAATTTGGTGTCTTGACCAAAATGTGATGGGCAAAGTACAATTTCAGACACTTGATTGAGAAGAGTATGGGACATCTTTAAATTAATGAAAAGTGATGAATATTAAAAAAGTAAAACATAAAATAAAATAAAATAAAAAATAAAAAAAAAGGGAGAGAAAATGTAAATGATAAAGGCATAGGTATCATACAGACATACCTTGGCCTCAGACTGACCAATGCTAACCTGAAGAAAAATTACACAGATTAGGGTTCTTCTACATAAGGTATCGATTTCATATAGCTAATGAAAAATTTAGCCACACAGCAAAAGGTAAAGACATTTATTGTCGAAATATAGAAGGATATGGTAACGTACTACGTACCACACAGAATGTCCTTGAAGGAACTATTACAGTCTTGTATATGGTTCCTGCAATTACCACCAAAATAGAAAATTTTAACAAGGAATTGAGTAAACAGGAGGTATATGCACATCAGGAAAGATTAAAAATTTAAAATCATACATTGCATTCTGTGTCCTACAGTAGTACTGTGTGTCCCATCCTATATTGATTATGCCACCTCAACAGCATTGAAACTCTAATCTTAGGCTAATGACAATTGCTTCACTAAGATACTGAGTTGGCAACAATGAAAAGTGACTGGACATAAGATGAGATGCCTAAAGGAATAGAGGGTCAACAGTTACCACTGCATCAAAAGACTGAACATTGGCAACATTTTTATATATAAGAGAATGTCCCTAAAAGTTGTTAATGGCAGTTTAATTTTGAAATTGTTTTTTTTTTTTTTTTCAAATTAAAGGGCAAATAATATTTAAGATTTGTTAGCCAAAAAAATACTCATGTACATTAGCTATCTATCGAAGGGTACGATGCTCAATACACAAACCTTTTAAATCTAGAAACATTTCAGATTCTTTTGAAGGAGTCTCTGAAATAATTACTCGTCCAACAGCACCCATATCACCACTCAAATCAATTGATTCACCTTCACACTCAACAAGTGCCTGCAAAACCATATACTTCTTATTACTAAAAGAAATAATTATATTTCATATATATAAGGTGAAGTTATGAAACCCTGGATGAAACTCAAAAAATCATTTTGCAGCAAATATAGGATTACCTACAGGAATGAAGGGAAGGGAGAGAAGGAAGAGTTGGAGGTGACACGATTATCTCGAACAACATAGTTAAGTAAGATAACGAGCTTAAAAAGGGAAAAAAAAAAAAAAAATTAAAAACATGAAGGTGCTTACCTTAGAGCGATGTACTTTATCAGGCAGTATCAAAGGCAAAGTAGAGGAGCTAACCTACAATTAGCATAACAAGGTGTATCAGCAAACCAAAGATTAGACACATACAATATCAAGATATTAATGTCTCTCACTGCAGCTTCAGTTTGCTTCTCAAGTTTGTTTTCCTCTGCGATATCCATATTGCCAACTTCGCCTATCACACACAAATACACAAAACATTATTTACAAGAAAATGACTTATTTAAAATAATATTAACAGAAGAAAAAGGGTCAAACTTTTTTATTCATGAATGCATGGATAGCTCTGGCTCTAAACAACCATGAGACTAAAACTTTGATTCTTTACAAGCCATATCAAAAATTAAACTACGCTACCTTCCATTTTCACAGGCTCATGAGTTTTCTTCTCTGTCAGTTGAACATCTTCCTGTTTCATCTGTTTCTTTGTAGATTTTCCTATGACTGTACTTATGAGGGCAGTGTCATCATCATCATCCTCATCCTCATCTTTCTCTTTCTTTTCCCTCATAGTTGCATCTAAATTGGATTCAGAATCTGATGACAGATCACAAATTGAATGAATTGGTGCCTGTTAAATAATAATACACAAATTTGTATCAGAGGCGAGCAAATAAGCAAACTTCACAGAGCCTGCCTGAAGATGAAGAAGCATAAGAGAGCCATTACTGCATCTCAAATGCAAAGCAGTAACGGGAGCACCCACATGACTCTAAAGTCTCAAGCCAGCACTAGATTATTGTCTTTTCAAGGTTAATCCAAGTGGATTTTAGTTAAGGAGTATTTTAATACGGATTGAACTCATTGAAGGCTTAGCATGAAACTTACAGTTGCAGGAGTTTCTGTCGAATTATCAGATATTTCTTCCTTCTTAACATTTTCATTATCTTCACTCCCTGTTTCATAAAAGGATCACATCAAGAACATACTACACTATAGAGAAATTATCAGGAGTATTTTTTTAGGAGAAGAATTCATTGAATAGTAAACATCAGAAAACTATTGAGCATGGATATGTCAAGTTTCAACCTAGAACTTCAAAGATTAGAACCAATGGTACTTTTATTTGTTCATATGAGGAAGTTTCTAGACAATAGCTACTAGGGGGTTTTACAGACCTCTTTTTTCTGTTTTAATCCTTTTGGCAGTTGTTTCATCACCAGCTTTCAATCGTTTCTTAGTTGTCTTCTTGTCAGGTGACTTCTTGTTAGACGACTTCTTGGTATGAGTCTTCAGGGAAATATTGCAGTTTTTTTCATCCTCTTCCCCATCTTCCTCTAATATGTCTGATGTTCTATGCTTTGTATCATTATCGTCTCTTGCAGGGCTTTTGTCACTAGAAGGCTCAGAATCAGATGACAAAGTTGTGATAGATTGAGTAGGAGCCTGTTCCACAAAATAGATTTTCATAAACACAAAAACAAGCAACCCAGACACCTTCTCAATGAAAAAAACAGACCAAAAACATCGAATAACTATATCTGCAGCTCACTACCCTAAAAAAAAAAAAAAAAAAAAAAGGTCAAATTTTCTGCTAATTTGAGAAAACTACAATAAATAATGAAGACGCATAGATTCTTAGACCTCCTGAATCTTGCATTCTACTAAAGAACCTGATGTCTTACAGTACACTGAAAGTTAGCCTGATCAAACCTGTAGTCAAAATATCAGAGAAATGAGTCCTATGTGTTCCATATCTTGTAATGCAATCCAATACTACGAGAACAATATAGCAAGATCCAGAATTAATCCCATCACTAGTAGGTGTAGGTTTTGGTAAGGTCAGAATACAACTGTAAGCATTCTTCTGCTAATAATTTGAACAGAAACCGAAACCATTAAACCTTTCGAACACGCTCGAGACTTGTGAATTTATCCTTTTTCCGGCAAATTTGCCACAACAAGACCAACATCATACCAGCAACTCAACAAGCTACCCTCAACTAAGCCCACTTCAACCAGAGATCAACAATCATTTTACACCACTCATATCAACAAGATGATCGTAACACAGCTCGAACACTTTGACTATGTCACTTAAGTACTTAACTACTTCAAACACCACTTCTCCAAAATCTATACACTAGTACACACTGAGCTGATAACTGATAACTGAGCTCATTGCTACATAAAATCAACCATAAGCTAACATAATCGTGAAGATTACACAGTTCTTCAAAAAAAAAAAAAAAACCTAATTCATCAACCTAAGTTCATAGCATATTTAAAGTACAAATTCAGCAACCCATAACTTAGAAACTGAATAAAAGCATCAAAAAATACCTGAAAAGAACGCAACCAATCAGGAGATGCCTCCCTAGAATCTCCCATCTTCAAGATTCGAAATTTCCAGCGTTTCTGCAAGTAAGAAAAAACACTAAGATAGAAACGATTCGACCAAAACTGATACTGTAGAATTGATGTAGTGATTGGATCCAAGTAGTCAAGTAATGGGAAAATCGAACTAAGATTGAAAATTTTAGGGATTTTCCAGATAATAATTAGAGGGACTATTAAATCAAAATTGTGCGAATATTTTCAGTGATAAAAATTAGGGTTTTTTTTGGATTGGAAGAAAAGGGGGGGTAAAGTGGTTGTTCAAAGTGGTGGAGGGCGGCGACTGGCGGGAGGATGGTTTAGACAAATTAATTGGAGGGAAATTTTTTTTTTTTTTTCCACTAATGTGTGATTTTTAATTTTTCTTAATTTATAAATAAAAAAATTACAACTTTTTTTTATCATGCAATAATAAAATAGTGTATATTTTATTTTATTGTTACTAACATGACGTATTCGAGTATATACAAGTACCTTTTATATGGAGTAGTAAATTTGTATTAATTAATGAACTTTAAAGAATTAAAAAGACGTGGTGATCCTAAAACACCTAATTTATTTTCTGAATTAATAGTGTAATTGAAAAGGAGCACATCAAAATACGTGGTAGGAATTTTTTTAAAGAAGAATGTCCATAAAACTTTGTGATGTACGGAGTAACACGTTAGTCTACAACCACGAACTTGTAAAATCTCAAAGGGAAAAAAAAATAGTTTATTTAAAAGTTTTTTTTTTTTAAAGACATTTATTTAAGAGATTAGATAGAATGAAAAAATATGGATTAAATCAACAATAACTTCAAAAAAAAGTTGAAAGAGGAGAACGGTAGAAGGGGATTGCAAACTTCAATTTTCCCATAGTTGAAATCGTATTAAAGAATATATTTGTAACTTTCAAATGTACATGTCAAAGTTTTTTCATACTAACAATTTTCTTAAACAATAATATGTAGGTTGAGATAATCATTAAAAAAAAAAGGAAAGGGGGGGGGGTGTGGGGGGTGGTGGGGGGGGGGTGTTGGTGGGCATTATTAAAATAGCTAAGGCCAAATAGAAAGTATCAAAGCATTAATCCTGGAAATGGTAAAAGAACCAAAAAGTCTTTACAGAATAAGAAAGGGTTAAAGAAAAATATAAAAGGAGATGAGGAAGACAAAATAATTATGATTAAATGAGCAAAAAAGTTTTCAAACTAACAGCTAAAAAAAAAAAAAAAAGAAAGAAAAAAAAAAAAAACACCTAACTGAAAATGGTTTCATTTATTTTGTTAGCTACCGGAGCAGTAGTCGTGATAAGCATGAGTTTGATGACTATATCAGCTATCTTCTCTGCTATCTGCCCTACTGAGAGGCAACGCAAAACCGATCCATATGAAGGGAAAGATGGCCAAGCCTTCTTTCAGACTGTTTATCAAAGTGACTCGTGGTGATTGCCATGATTCGATAACTTCAGAGGTCAGACTTGGAATAGTCATGCTCCTTAAGTCTCGGACCCAAGTCTCCTGCTGCCAGGAAAGGATTGCTATGATGCAGAGGATTGAAGATGTTATTGTGAATGGTTTCTGAATGATGTTTGCTTAATCACTGTAACTGTGGTGTACGCTGTGTCCCTGAGATGCATAAGGTTGATCTTGTTCATTGTATTTCACTTGATTTCTATTTGTTTCAAATGAAGAATGGAAATTTAGCCAATAATTTACTGGTCTTAAAAGTGTTGCTCATTTATAGGTATTACTCGTATTAGGCATAATGATCAAGAATTCTATGCAACAAAGAGGAAGTATATGCTGATAATTCACAAAATAATAATCGATGCAAATGATCATAGAAACATTGGATTACTGGTACACAATATATTGCATACAAGCTGACTTTTTCTGGTCACCTGGGATTTTTCCCAGAATAATATATACTTTGTATAAATAATAATATAAATAAAACACCAGATAGGCTAAAGGGCTTCAGTATTATCCTGAATATCATCTGCACAGGAAACCTGCAGTTACATGTGATACTGAGATGCATCCTCATTAGATAACCTTCAGTCAGGGAGTACTGTGATGCCATAACCCCGCCAACCATGTCACAGAGATCAAGCTTTAAATGACTGAAGTCCTGTTGATCAAGGCTGAACAGCACTTTTACAAAATTCCAGCTTCATATGACAGATGACCAATCTCTACCTCAAGAAATGTCTTCGGCGAATATGATGTCATAGATTAACTGCACTGCAATCCACAACATGAGATGACATAAGAACTTCTATTTCTACATGCAGCTCATCAAAGTCACAGTTATAAGAATGCTTCTTGGCTTTCTGCAAGCCCCGCAACAGAATAGAAAAGAGATGCTAAGATAACATGAAAAACAACAATCACAACTTTATCTGCTTAGGTCCAAATTTTTACAAGCTGCAGACATTTTTCTAGATCAAACCACTCATCCGTCAACCAGATCAACTACCACTTTCAGGCAAAGTTGACAAAAATAAAGTTTACTAAGTGTAAATAAAGTAGATAAAGTCAAAGGAAAAAATACAGACTAAACGTGTAAAAAGGATGGGATTTAAAAGGTCAATGTGTTGTTATATGAAAGTCTGAGAGGGAAGTGTAACCAGCCTATGTGTTGTTATATGCAAAAGCAATACTTGGCCATCCCATTGATCCAGTCAAAATCCAAAATTAAATTATGAGGCAGAGATAATCCAGATGGGAGTGAGTACAGAGACATTGGAATATTTGAGTAAGTTGTCACACATCATTGCAAATACTAGTACACGGAAATCAAAAGCCCTTGTTCAAGAAGGATATTTAAGCTGCAGAATTTATGCCAATGACAGCATACATACCTTCATCTCTCGGAATATTTGGCTGATCGAACAAAAGCTGACGCAATGCTCCCAAATCTTTGGAACTGAATGGAATTGAACCTTAGTTAGAATCTCAAGACACAATAATAGCATTAAACCCATTTCTTATCTTATTGTACCTGGGCTTTAAAGCAATACTCAAGAGTGCAGAAACCACTGATGATTTAAGGCGGTACCTACATAGAAAAAGGAAGATAATGTAAGCACTAATATGCTTTAACAGTCTTGACACTTGAGGAAAAGAAAATTAAGGCTTCAGCAGAGAGAAATAGCAAATAGCCTAATCCCTCAAATCCCCCTGATGGTTGGAAACAAGTGACAAGTCATAAACAATGAGGAAAGATAATCCTTAAATGTATCACTCCAACCTTACAACTTATACCTTGGTGATCATAAGCCATAAAACCAATTCTTATGAATAAGAACATGCAAAAACAAAGAAGCCAGGTTGAACGTACTCAGAGCTGTGCATCTCCTGCAAAATAGCAAGCCCATCCAAGCAATCTGAAAGACTTGGTTTAATTCCCACCCTTTGCTGCAGTTGTTTAGTGGAAAGCACATGAGATCCTCTTCCAACAAGCTGCCTACTGTCTCTGACCATCTTTTCCAGTGACAGTACAATACTGTGGAAATCCAACCTACACACAGCTCCCAATTAATTTAAAGCTTGAAGTATTCAAGATCATGCTATCATACAATCTAATTCCCCTTTAAATATAACGAGGGGAAACACCCACCAAACCAAAAACACCCAAAGAAGCTAAAAGATCAAGATATAATCACCATCATAGTTTCTATCATTTAAAATTAAAATCCAGGGATTAGAATATATGCGCCAAATTAAGTTAAGTTAATTATGCAGAACTAAGCTCTGATACCTCATAAAACCACACGAAATTTCAAGAGACTTTTTGCACATCACCAACTTTGCTGTATAAATTAAAGTGAGTCTTAAACTTTTTAAACACTAGACAATACCCTAATCATTTGTTCTACTACTACAATCTTTAATATCCTTGAGTATACATTGGATATAAATATATACTACCTCCTTTTTTTTTAATTGACACATTTTAACTTTAGCACTATTCACACACTCCCCTTTGACAGTGTTTTGTGCTTTATACGTAATAAAAATATAATCATGTGAGATCTTGTTAGATTCATCACAATATATAATTTCAAAATATTAAATTTTCATAATTTTTGCTTATCGGTAATTAAAGATATAAATGGTTAAAGTTGTGCACTCGCAGATGTGATTAAAGAAACGTGTCAACTAAAAAGAAACGGAGGAAGTACAAAACAACATATCACTTTCAACTAATCGATCATTTTTCTCTTATACCAACTCTAAGGACTATATTCAATCACCATATCATCAGTAAGGTTACATGCTTGTATGCCAATTCTTGTCCATTAGAAGCAAATGTAGCCTATAATTCTCATATGCAAAAAAGACAGAAATAGTTTCATGAAGCATGAAGCATGAAGCGTAATGATTGTATATGATTATCAAACCTATATATCAATCAATTGTCAGCCAAAGTGTTTTGCCGATTGAACTCACTTTACCTAATTGATTTTCAGTTGTGTATACACAAGTCGCATAATCATCTTACCACAAAACTAATAGAAGGTAATAAACACGTTAAATTGAAACAATTAAGGCAAGCAAATATTGCTTACACAAATTATATATTTTTTCTTTTACTACACATTCTTATATGAGAGCAACTATTGTTATGAAGTTGAACCAAATTTGTTACACTGAAATATATAATTATCCATGTTCAAGTGTTGAGTATCCGACTACGGGTACTTGAGGTGAAATGAAGAGCTTGCAAGCAAAGAGATGTTGGATTAAATACAATGAAGTAACAAGACAACAAAAATAAAGTGCTAAGAAAAACCAATTGAACTAACATAGTCTTCTTAAGTGAGAGCAAAATTGTCTCCAAAGACTCCATTTGCTTCTGCAAAACTGCATCTTCAATCCCATCAACACCCTTCAAACCACCATAATTCCTCTTATTTCCAATCACCTAAATAAATATTTCCCAAAATCATAATCAAATTTCATAATTAATACACCAAGATTGAAACTTTAAGCTACCACAAATCAAATTTAAAAAGAGTGAATTCAAAGTGTATATTAGAGACCTCAATTCTTCCAATAACTGAAGAAGCATTAGAAAACTGAGAAAGTAACCGGGATTGAAGGTCTTCCCAGTGATCCATTTCTTCTCGAACTTTCTTGAATTTCTGTTGATATTTCTTCAGAATATTCTCCATAAAAAGAGAAAGAAGTGTTTAATAGATAGTGGTCGTGGCGGAGGAGGCGGTGGTGGGAGTCGCGGCAGGGTGGTCTGGCTTTGAAAGAAGTGCACTAGTGAGAGTGTAGAGTTGGGTAGGAGCCGAGGGAGTGAGGTTTTGAATTACTACCTCCGGTCTTTATTATCTGCAACTTTCAGAGGGAGTGCGGTTCACGAGACAAAATTTGATAATTATAATTAGTGTATTTTATTCATGTGATTAGGAGGAGAGAGTGTCTAATTAATGGCTGTCTTCCCCTTCCCCTCTACCTTCATTCATGGCTGCCCTCTTCCCCTCCACCTTCATCCATGATAGCAACTTTCCGGCAACTCCACCCTTTTTCGGCAGCCCCCTCATTCGTCTACCCCTCCCTTTTTCGGCAGCCCCCTCCCCCGTCTTTCCCTCCTTTTTCCGGCAGCCCCCTCCCTAACCTAAAAACCCAGAAATCCCAAACCCAAAAACCCAGAAATTGTCACCCAAAATACCTAAAACCCACGCCCTAGAACCCTAACCCAGAAATCGTCACCATCATCACTTTCAAAAACCCAAAACCCACGCCCTAGAACCCTAACCCAGAAATCGTTACCATCATCACCTTCAATAAAACCCAAAACCCACGCCCTAAAACCCTAACCCAGAAATCCGACCATCATCATCACCTTCAATCGAAATCAAACCCAGAAAATCGAAATCAAAACCCAGAAAATTGAAATCAAAATCCAGAAAATCGAAATCAAAACCCAAAAAATCGAAATCAAAACCCAGAAAATCGAACAAAACCCAGAATATTCGAACAAAACCCAGAATAATCGCACATCATCTTCAACTGAAACTTGTGAGGGAGGAGAGATGAAGAGGATCGTTCGTCGGTGGTGGGAGCTAAGGGCCGTGATCTTAGGGAGGAGAAAGACGGTGGTGGGATGGAAGGTGGTCGTAAAGGAGGAGAGAGAATTGTGGTGGGAGGGGCGGTGGTCGTGACTCGTGAGGGAGGAGGGATGAAGAGGTTGAAGAAAGAGATGAATGGGTGGTTGGTAGACGAGGACCTGAGTAAATGGGATGGGTAGAATTATGTTAATGATTTTAGATTAGTTTAAAAAGGAGGTTTAATTAACCTCTTAATTAGTTTTTTAAAATGTTAAGTAAGGGTATTTTGGTCATTTTACAGAAAAAGTTACTATAAATGGAAAAAAATGAATTGTTGCACATAATGTGGGGCGGCCAAAAATAGTAAATGTCGCAGATAATAAAGACCAGAGGTATTATATACTTTGGGGTTGGGTTGGGGCCTTGGTCCCTTGGGGGTGTGAATTTAAAACATAAGAGCTGGTGGTGACGGCGCTAAAACTGTGTTGGGGACGATGGACGAGAGAGTGGTGGTGCTAGATGCAAGTGCACGATGTTATGTCCTAGGATTGTTTGGTAAGTATGTGACATCGAAGTTTGTTAAGTATATGAGAGGGTTGTATTATCATATGGTGCAACCGTTGTATGGGAAATCTTTCGATTTAGGTGAAAAGAAATCGTAAAGAAACTTTCAATATGAGACTTGACATATATATATATATATATTTAATTTAATTTAATTTGATGATCGGCTTAATTAACTCTATTTGCTTTTTAGTTAATTATAACAAGTCTTAAATTACTTGCTAAATGAATTATATTGATTTATCTTTGAGAATGAAACTCACTTACCTAACTTCCCAAACCTCATGAAACATCTCTCAAGCTTCGTAGCTACAAAGACTACATCACAAACTATCTAAAATGGGGAATAAACACGATATAACTACTGAGTAATATTTTTAGCTGTAATTGTGCAAAGTATGTCATTTCACAGGCCTAATATAATTTTTATTGATGTAAAGTGCACTCACTCGTTTAAGATTGTGTTGCTCCACGCACTCATGTTATAACCTACGGAGTATGTCATTGAGATTAATTTTGTGTTTTAATTAAAGCATTAAAAAATTAAATCCCCTTTCCATTTATAGCTAAGCCAATAACCTCCCACACCTATTTGCCAGGTTACGGAATAGGGTCGAGTGACAGGCAAAAACTTGTCTTTTGCCACTCTAAATTCCCATTTTATCTATCCATCCACACAGCTCTGAAAACCCCTCTTCTCATCTTCTCCCCAAAAACCCCTAAAACCCCAGAAAAACAATCCACCATGGGAGATGGAAAGCAAGATTTAATGGCGGTTAATTCAACAAAGGGTTTAATTCAACAAAACCCAATTACCCAAATTCAATCTGAAATCAAAAAATTGGAAGTTAACGTTAAATCTTGGCTTTCTAAACAATCTATTCCTGTTGAAGCTGCTGTTGTTACTGCTGGTGGGGCCATTCAAGGTGCCCTTATTGGTGGTCTTATGGGTACCTTTACGCAGGATTTATCCTCCTCCATGCCTATGCAGCCTCCTCCTGGTAGCCTTGACCCTAATGCTATGGCTAGTTTAAAACAAGCCCAGGTTTATTTTGAGTTTTCTTCGTTTCTCATTTTATTGTATTCTCTTGAGATGAAATTTGATGTTTTTTATGTTAATTTGAGTGTTATTATGTGGGATAGTGAATAAATCGATTGTGTTTAGTTATATGATTAATGTGGGTATGAGTGTATGACTGTTATTTTGTGGGTGTGCATAATTTTATTGTTTTTGGGTATATGTTTAATGTGTGTATGAGTGTTCTTGTATATTAGATGTTTATACAATCTTATAGAATGATATCCTTGAATTTTGTTATGTGTATATCACCTCTTATTGCATTGATTTTGAGAATGAATCCCCTGATATTGTCCGCGTAGGATTAAAAGTTTATAACCATCGGGCGCATTTTCTGTGTGTTGATATTAGGATTAATTGTTCAATTACCTGAAAATGGGATGTTTGGAATTTTGGGTATAAAGAGGTTGAGAGGAGTTCATGAAGTCCCAATCTCATTTCAGAACTGACTAAATGTATTGAGCTCCATATTGGGGAGCTCGAATTGAAATATCTTGTTTAGTTTTTTGCTTTACACCTCTTGGATTGGGGTGGCTTTATAGATTGTAGACACTATGGGTTTCCATAATAAATTTACTACTTTTGATTTTCGTTTGTGTGAAAAGGTTGGGGATTTCTAGTGCTACTTCTCACCAATACATTTGCAGAAAAAAGTCCCTATAGTTTCATTTTGGTACTGACCTAATATATTGAGCTCCTTGTTTGGGAGCTCAAGTTGTTATGGTTTGTCTAGATTTTTGCTTTACATCTTTGGGATTGGGGTGGCTTTATAGATTGTAGACACATCAGTTTTTCATTTTATAATTATATAGAAAACAGAGAGTTTGATTTTTATTTTTGTAAGTACAAAAAATTGTGGGTTTTAGTCCTACTTTTCACTACATTTGAAGAAAACTAGTTACTTTCATGGCAGATGCAGGCTCCCTCCATGGAAGGAGCTGATATAATTCAAAGCTGCTGTATCAATATCTAGTTTATGTATTGATGTCCTACATTTTGTGACCCTTGTAGAAGAATAATAGGTTATTTTCGTTATCATACTATGTGTGGTGTGATGGGGAAAGTGATAGTAATTTATAGCACTGTTATATTTTGGGTGGACTAACAAGTTGCCTCATTTGGAAAAAGGGGGCTAAGTTTAACTATTTCAAAATTTTGTTAATTATTTATTAGCCCCATTTCTCAAATAGAAAGTTGCACTTTTATGTGTGTGTGTGTGTGTGTGTGTGGGATGATGCTTCTGAGTTTATTAAGAATGAAAAGGAGCTACCTTCTTTTCTAATGTATAACTATGTCTCCTACTTGATGACCAAGCTTTCACTTTTACCTTTTACAGCCTTACTCCTATTTTATAATTTGTGCAGTTATTGATTATTTATTTATCTTTATTATTTCGGGTCTAAAATATCTACGCACTTTGAACTTACTGATACAATTAAATTTGTGTGTTCTGAATATCAATGCAATAACTAAGTAACTAACATTTCCTTGATATGTGAGCATAACTTTCAAAGACATTTACTAAAAAATTGGGGAAGTATATCAGCTTGTGCTTCGTTCTTGATAAAGTCTTTTCCTGTTTGTAGGCTCTCTCTGGGGGCCCATTGGTTCAAGCTCGCAACTTTGCTGTCATGACAGGTGTCAATGTTGGCATCTCTACTGTTTTGAGGAGAATCAAAGGGAAGGAGGATGTATGGTCCAGGTAAGCTTGCCTAATTTCCCATTTGTTGATAATTTTCCAAGGCTTGCTATTCATTCTTGCTACAAAACCATTTGCAGCTCTCGCAGCATGACTTTTATTTCTATCTACCCTTTTGTTTTACTTCACTGTTGCAAGTATTGATTTGTGTTTGTTGGTTATTGGCAATGGTGCTCTTGCCTCTATATTTCAGCTCTAATTCTTGACCTGGGAAAAATGAACAAATTGATTAAGTTGAACAATATAATTGTAAGCTAGGCCATCAATAGTTAGAAGTACTGGTTTTTTTTTATAGAAACCCTTGTTTAGTAGACACCTCCTTTGTGTCACTTTATTTCTATTGTTTGTGTGTTTACAGTTTCTTTGTCAAACATGTTTATATATGCATTAACTTGATGAACTGCAGCATGGCAGCAGCATTTGGTTCTGGAGCCATGTTTTCTTTGGTTAGTGGTATGGGTGGGCCAAACCAAGTTTCCAGTGCTATCTCATCAGGAGCCTTTTTTGCCCTTGCTCAAGGAGGAATTTACAAGGTTTGTAATGTTTTTTCTCTAGTCTTATAAATTTTACTTCTTTATACCTTTTTCTTTTCACATTCCAGTATGGCAGTATCAATATTGATGAGCTTGATCAATTGGGAATATGGACTGTTAAGTCTTGATAATCAGACCTTGATTTTTGATGAGAGATAATTCTTGTACTGGATGAGCTGAAAAGACATATTAATAGTGCCGTGTTAGTGCATGTTGAGACTTGCAGGACTTGATTATTTTCCATCTTGTTGGCCCCCTTGCCTATAATGTTGCGGTGTTTAAGATTTTAAGTGATAACTGATCAGTTCAACAACTGTTTCTCACTGACACTGCTATTGTGCTTCATAGGTTTAGTATCAAGATTGTATCTTTTATTTCTATTGAGGTTATTAGCCCTTTATTTATGCAGCTGGGAGAAAAGTTCTCTAAACCATTGGTGGAAGATGATCCGTTCTACGCTAAAACAAGAAGTTTGTTGTTTAGCCTTGGCCTCCAAAGCTATGAGAAAAACTTTAAGAAAGGCCTGCTGAATGATCATACATTGCCATTGCTCAATGATAGGTAAGTATCAATGCTCATCTTTCTTGTCGTCTCTCATTTTATTATTTGTATTGGCAGTAGATTGTAGACTGCTAGATTTGGTGGTGCCGAAAATGGGTTAAATTTGTTCATAAGTAATATAATCTGTTACTCTGTATTACTTGGACTTGCCAATTCACCTCAAGTACCCTTACATACCAAATATTTCGACATAGAATTAACACTTGGTCACTTGGAGCTAAACAATTTCAATATTTCCCTTATGTTGTTTTACGCCTGGTTTTGTACCCATATCTCACTCTCCAGTCCAGGTCTGACTATCTGAGTAATCTAGATATTATCGTGGATATTTGGGAAATAAAAATTGAACTATTGGGAGTGTTGATCTCTATTCTCATCTCTTAAGCACTGCTTGAGGTTTTTGGTCTTTTCCAAAGTCTGCAATCATGTAAACTCTTAACAGCATCTCCTTCGTGTCCAATCATGAGATCTCCATGAGATAGATGATAGATAAGGAAGCAGGAAGAGTTTAGTAGAGAAGAAGGGTCAGGCAGACATAAATCACTGATAGATCTGGACTCTCTGCTCTTTAGATGCACGTTTTACTTTCTTTCTAATGTGATTTTTATACCTTGATTTTCGTGTTTCTTCCCCTGTTTTTTAATTACAGTACTAAAATAGTAACAGTGAAATAAGTTTGATAGAAAACTTCCGAATTAGTCCAACTGTAGCACCTATTATAGCTTATATGCACATTTGCATTTTCACGAATGCTAACAGCTAATGTCTTTGAATGATTTGCATGTTC